TTTAATTCCAGTAACAGTTATTAATTCCCAATTCTGTGGGAACACCTTGAGAAGACCCGCCTTCCACTTGAAAATTCTTGTAAGTGGAATTTTGGGACAAGGCATATGCATGTTTATAAAGCTCTAATACTGGATCAAATGTTTGACAGCTATGACTGGGATCCTGTCTATTCCAGGGCAGGGCATTCTAAGAAGGGTGTTCTTGGGTTCAGGCTGTCCTGCTGTTACAGAAAGGGGTTGTTATAGAAGAATCTCCATAAAACGGGGAGGTTCCATGCTTCCTGCCCCACCTAATGAAGGGTGGAGCAGAGCAGCCAGGAGAAGCTACAGGAGACTTGGAGAGACTGGAGGAGGCACCTGGAAGCAAAGGGCATGCTGGTTTCTCCGCTTTGGACTTGTGCTAGGGGCCTGAGAGACGTATGAAGCTGAGACATGCAGAGACACTTGGAAGAGAAACGTGGGTGAGAGGCAAGTGGGGAGGCTGGCAATAGCAGTTGCTACCTTGATTTGTACTTTGATTTTTCTCCTTTCATCCCAGACTTGCCTGGCTCCTTCTGTCCCTTTCCTGTACTTCCCTGCCAGAAGGTGCCTTGGATTTGTGACAAGTTTTCAGGCCTTAGCAACCCTGCTTCAGGCCAGCCCTGTTTGGCTGGGCATTTGCCCACAAGAGGATGGGTAACTTGGTGTTTTATTGGGAAACTATTATCCTTTTTTCTCTTCTCTCTCTAGGCACACTAATCCTATTGAAGTTCTTTTGCACTGAGAGTATGCTTTGTCTTTATGCAGCAGATGGCAGAAGCCCTTTAGAGCATATAAGTTTGGGGGGCCCAGGGAGCCCCTCAGTCTGCACACTAACATTGCCACTCCCATTGCCACAGCTGACTGTTGACTCTATTCCTCCATTGAACATGTGAGGATTGAGCTGCAGGGGGCCAAGGGTGATGGGGGGAAGTATTTCTTTTTCATAAAGGATGATAGTGAGTAGGTAGCCTGCACTTCCAGGTGGAACCGCATGTCGCTGCTTTTGCAGCTCCTGGCTGGGAATAGCATGCTGCAGATCCCAGCCCAGAAGGCCAAGCACTAGCCAAGTGGTGGGAGTGAGCTGGGGTCCAGTTGACCTTGAGTTGACCCCGGTCCACCCATACTCCTGCCTTCCATCTGGGTCTAGGAGCTGGACATGCAGGACAGGGCAGGAGAGAAGAACGGGCACTGTGCGGCTGAGCCCACGGCTGGTGAATCAGCTACCTGTGCCCCCACCAGTTTGGAGCCAGAACCTTTCTGGTTTGCAACTTCTCTGTGGTCTTGTCTCTCTGAATCTTAAGTCTGCAATAGGACTATCAGCCTATTGAAGGTGGGTTGTTCATATTTTTCTTTTGATTCCTGACAGTACCTTGCATAGAGCTGAATCCATAGGAAAGGACCACCTAGTTGTGCCCAGCAGGGGGTTAAGAGGGTCACTCCACCCATGGAGTGACCTGTGGGTGGTGGCTGAGCTCTTCTGCAGGCCATGGTGAGCAAGAGTAAACCCAGCGACATATGCTGAGGCTACCTGCCTCTTTGGAAGCTCCTTCCCCACCCCTCCCAGCATAGCTAAATCTTAAAACGATATCAACTAATAGCCTTAACAAGGTCAAATGCTTTTTTAAAATAGCATAGTTTCTTTTCATTTTGCTATTGGTGAAGAATTTTCTTAGTTATTAAAAGCAACACCCCCCAGAACTGTGTCACAGAAGAGCGCTTTCTGAGCGTTATTACCTTATTATGAATCAGTATTTTGTCACAGAACTTTGGAATCATGTATCAATCTATTATTGGTTGTTCCTCAGAGAGGCTATTTTTTGGCTATTTTGTTTTTTTTGTACGAGTGGCATAACCTGTAACCTTTACTACAAGAAGTGTTTTTTCCCCCTCCACCTTCCCTTAAACCTCTCTGACCCTTCCCCTCCCTCTTAACCTCAGAAACCACACTTTGCTTATGCATGTCTAGCTTGTAATTATTTTGCTTTGTCAATTCATCTACTATGATTCATCATTTTACTCATTTATGAAAATGTGCGGTATTTATCTTTATCTTTCTGACTTATTTACTGCTCATAATTTCCACAAGCTCCTTCCATTTTGCAGTGAATGATGACAGTTCCTCTTGTAGCTGAACAGCATTCCCTTGTGTGGATAGACCCATCTTCCCCGTGTAGTTATGCCAGTGGGCACTTCACTCACTTCCGTGTCCTTGCTAAAGTAAACAATCCTGCAGTAAACCTTGTGGAGCACATACTTTTGGAGGTGGATGGTTTCCTATTCTTTTTTTTTTTTTTTTTTTTGAAGATTTAGGTTTCCTATTTTTTCACTAAATACCAAAGAGTGGGATTACTGGGTCATTTGGTAGTTTCCTTTTTAGATTTTTTTTTAAAGATTTATTTTATTTATGTATACAAGAACTGGAGTATAGGCCAAAGGTACAGGGGGTGAGAGGATTCACCAGAGAGAGTGGGGAGTAGAACAGGTGGATACACTGAAATACACTGCTGAGGGGAGCAGCGGGTGAGACAGGAGAGGTCTGCTGCACCGTGTGGGTTAGCTTCCTGGCCAGGGATCGAACTCAGGCCACAGTGGCTGGTGATAGCTTGACAGTGCTGAGACTTAACCCCTGCACCACCAGGGAGGCCCCTCCATTTTTCATTTTCTAAGGTAAGTCCAAATGGTTTTCCAAAATGGCTGTACCGGTTTATGTCCCCACCTACACTGTGTAAGGGCTCAAGAGAGGTTGCTTAGTTGGAATAGCTCTCCTTATGGACCAGGGAGAAATACCAAAGGTATTGCGACTTACCTAAATCCCATGGAAGGTTGTCAGATAAAGCTGTACCCAGCACCCTTCAAAGCAAGGGATTGGACTTGTGCCATCTATTTGTGCTGTTAGCAGCAATTTTAACTAACTTATGATTGAAATCTTATCTCCTTCCAGAAAGGATGTAGGACAGAGACAAAATGCATCCAGAAACCAAATAATTCTTCCATAATTTTGGAATGCTCATCTTGTGAAAAAAATTTTAATGGGGGCAGGTGGATTTGTTGATAATAAAAACTGTAGGCACAGCTGTAATTCCTGTCTCCCCCAGATCCAGATTCTGTGCATTCAAACTGTCACAGCACTGTGGGTACCCGGCCTCTGGTTTTATGCCTCACTCTGACTCTTTCGGTGTCATGCAGATATTGTCATCGCTTATTTCTGTATGTTTTAGATTAATGATTGCAGAGTTATTCAAGAATTTTAGGTCAGACGGCTTCTTCCCTCTAGGACACTATTTCTCAAGAGGTGCTCAGAATTATTGAGGCAAGGAGCTGATTAAAATGAAGATTTCTGGGCCAGCCTGGTCCCAAAGGTTGGCACTTGGGAGGGGGCTTGCATCTTTATTAGTTCCGCAGGATATTCTCCTGCACACATTAAGTCCAAGAATGAGCACCTAAGCGCCTCAGAAGAACATCTTTAAGAGGCCCTCAAAGGGAAATGGTTTCTACTGCACACGTCTTCTGGGAATTGGCCCATAGAGTCATGTGGGATGTCATGTCATCTGCCCCTGTGTGATCTGCATCAGCCACCTTGGCCGGGCCTTTGGGATCCACTGAAGGGTTTCCTGTGGTTACTTGCAGATATCCTGCCAGCAAGGTGATTTCTCACTGCTGCTTCCTCCTCAGTCAAGGGGCAACGTGTCTCATCCCTTGGTGTCCCCACAGGTCCCGGGTTTCCTGTCCCTCCTCCCTCCCTCCAGAAACCCCTTCTCACTCTCCATTCTGTTCTCCTTTTGTCCTTGGCTCCGAGTCAGGCAGTGTGCTCCTGCCCACAGGGACTTGCAGGGGCTGAGAGCAGTCCGTGCAAAGTGAGCTGAGAGGAGGGAGACAGTGTGTGTGCCTGGGCGGGGTGAGTGAAGGGAGTTGGGGGTGGCGGTGGGTGAAGAGGACCTTGAAGCTCATTGCACCAGGAATGCCGTGCAGAAGGCTTGCTTGGAAGCAGGCAACACATGGCTTCTGATACCAGGTTTCTCTGGGAACATACCCCCTCTTCTTCATGCTGCTAGACCCCTTTCCTTTTCCCAGTGCTGCTCCCAGCCCCAACACCAGGGCAGGGTACTGCTGTTGTCCCCCCACCCCCACCCCCCGCCCCCTACCCTCTAGCCCAGGTCCTGGAGAAGCTCCCATGAACACACTGGACCTAGCAGCCATGTCTTTTGGGGCTGGAGCTTGAACTGACACCTACTTTGTCCTCTCCTCTTCACCTTCTCAAAGGCTCCCCTGGGCCAGAGGCTACTGCTGTGCTGCTTCGGCCTGTGTGGACACGTTAGCAGTTGTGCAGGCTGCTAATGAGCTGGAGTAATCCCAGCATGCAGTTTTTCTCCTATAGGAAATGAAGGGGCTTGACACTTCTGTAGCGGAGACATTTTAAGTGTAGCGTTCCCTTATACTCCCTTGTGCTCCCCCTGCGTAAACTGGGTTCCTTGGGAAATGCTAATGCAGCGTGAGGGTGGCCTGCTGCTGCGCACATTGAAATCTTCAAATAAGACAAGTACTTGGCGGTGGTGAACAAGTCAAACCTTTCCTTTTTTTTTTTTTTTTTTTTGCATTTTATTTTATTTCTATTTTTTAAATATATTTTTTACATCATTTTTCATTTTTGCACAATGTATGCATTTTCATCTTGGTTATATTCCCCATACAATTCCCACCCCCCTTATTTTGACCCTAATCCCTCCTCCCCTCTCCACCGCTCCCCCCACAGTGTGTCTCTGGTTTATAGCTGCTTGTGGATTTTGAATTTTACTTTATTACTTTGAAAATGGTATGTACAGCCTAAAACATGTTTAGCTTAAACTTTCTCACAAAGCAGACATCTCAGTTTCAAAAACTGTCCCAACTCTTGGGTATGAAGGGAAAGGGAAATCAGTTGAAAGGGAAATCAGATATCAGCAGATCGTGTCTCCAACCACCATGTTTTTCTGTCATTGCAGGTGATTTTCAAAGCCAAGTCAAAATACTCTCCAGAATTACTCAAGTACCGGTAAGTCTGCACCCCAGGGTGCTTCTATCTCTGATGGTAAGTAAAAGGCTCACATGTGAGGCCTGTTTCTCCAGGGGTGGGAATTGCACATCACTGTGAGCTGCCCCAAGCAGACCTGCTGCTTGTTTTGAAAAAACAAAATCAAACTGAGTTAATTTTAATGCTCTGATTTATTTTATATTTTAACGATTTTATTTATGCATACAAGAACTGCGCTATAGGCCAGAGGTGTGGGGGTCAGAGGATTCACCAGAAACAGAGTAGGAAGTAGAACAGGCAGATCTACTGAAATACACTGTAGATGGACACAGCGAGCGAGCCAGGAGAGGTCTGCTGTGCCATGTGGGTAGCTCCCTGGCCGACAGGTCAAACTCGTGCTGCTGTGGCTGGGATTGCTTCATAGTGCTGTGCTCAACCTCTTGCGCCACCAGGGAGGCCCCTGTTTGACTTTATTAAATGGTTATGAATCAGGCAGCATTCCCTCTAGCAAGTAGAAAGGAGTCACAAAAAGTTGTACAAAATGGAAGGTTTTTATAGCTGGAAAAGATGATGGGACAAGAGAAGAAAGATTTCAGGCCGTCACCTTTCCTTGGGTAAGGGGAGTAGGAGGATTTTTATGCAGATTACCTTATGAGTGTGGACCAGAAAATTCCAGGTTGATTAGTTTAAAATCTCACTTTTGGGAGAGGGTAAAACCACAGTAGGTTAAGTCTTGGTGGGGCTAGGCATAAACGGCTCCATTTTGCCCGCCCGCTCTTTTTTTAACATTGCTAAGTGAGGGGCTGTAAGCATCTTACCCATTGCATGAAGAATCAGCTCTCTGAGTCACCACTTGCTGGGTCTGCAGCGTATATACCTTGTTTAGAAATAAATCTTTGATTTTTTTTTTAATAAATAAAAAATGTGAGCCAGATTTTGCTTTTCCCTTTCTATAAGAAATCTAGGCTACTGGGGGAGAAATTTAAATTGGCTTCACAGTCCCAACTCTCCTGTCTTGGTGGGAGGTGGTCAAATACTGGATTTGCTGGCAGCACTGGCCTGCACTTCCTGTCCTGGTTCCAGCATGTCCTGCTTGAGGCCAACAGGGTCACGAGAGTGTGTCTCCTCTGCGCTGACTGACCAGCCAGAAGCTGCTGCTTCTGGTCATGCAGCAAGGTGTTCTGCTCAGATGTGCGGTCACACTTACTTTCTTGTTTTTGGTCTTTTTCTCCCTATCAGCTGGTTATTGTAACCCTGTGGTTTGTTTTGAAAGTGTTTTTTGGTCAATGTACAAAATGTTTTTCCCACGGAAACACACTCTTGTGATACGGTCTCCTCCCCCCGCCCCCCGCCTTCCCTTTTAAAATTCTCTATCTCCAAATCTCCCTCTTAATTCCAGAACTTCAGGCCAAGGGGAAAGGTTATGTCTTGCAAGTTATTTTTCTTTTCATTATAAATATTACAGAAGCTCATTGGGAAGGTGATAAAATAGAAAAAGACAGCAAATATGTGGATTTTGACATATGGAAAGAAAGAAGACATGTCTGTGAACTCTCCCCTTACCCCCCAACCCTAAGGAAATAAAAGGACGTAATTCACTGTAGGTTTTCATAGACATTTTCCAAGACAAATCTGATACCTGATTGCATTTCCAATTTTGCTTTCTGACCTCTTATTTTCATGTTCAATCATAAGTAACTTTTCCATTGTTTCACATCTCACACACCTTCTGTTTCTTTCAGACAGTATCAGGTTTTTGCTCAGCAAGTGGTCCTATAGGCTCAGAGAGTAGGATTTGATCAGAAGAAATCCAGGGGGCAGGGAGGTTTGAGAAAGCAGAATGACCAGCTTGCATAAAGACAGGGAGTTGGGGGGCACACAAGACGGGTTTGAGGGACAGTGCATAGACTGACTTCATTAGCATGTGGGGTGCCCACAGAGTGGTCTGGCTCCAGAGTATAAGGGAGTAGGGGCTTAGGGCGGGGATGAATTCGGACACACAGTGGTTTCTGGCCAGAAGGTGTGTGGGAGTGGCGGTGATAGGAGAGGGCCCCGGCAGGAAACTGGAGGGGGTAAAGAATGGGCTGAATCTGATAACCGATTGAGTGGGGGTAGAACACGGATTCAAAGAGGAGCTCTATGGTTTCAGAATCTGCAAAATCACAGCGCCTTTAAGCCAAGACATGAAATTGAGGACTGAGGTAGCAATGTTCCTTTGGTAGAATGTGGGTTCTGAAAATTGTGTGACAGACTTTGCCAGTGGATAGTAAATTATTAATTGCAAGACATAAAATCCCATTCAAATTAACTATGCCGTCAGGATTTATTATATAACCTGATATGAGGGCAGGAAATAAAGCCACAGCTGCACCATTGCCCCTCCCCTGCCCCCGACACATGCCCTGTCAGTTGCAGTGTCTGGAGCTGGGACTGGACTCCACATGCCATGTCCCCATCTTTGATGGATTTTGAAGACTCCCTTGTCATCTCTAGCTTCAGAGCTACCTTTTGTTGATGGTTTTCTGTTTTGGGACTTGCAAGAAGAGTTAACATAGGCTTTTTTTTTTTTTTTTAAAGATTTATTTATTTTTATACAAGAACCAGGATACAGATGCGTGGGAGGGTGAGAGGATTCACCAGAGACAGAGCAGGGAACAGAACAGGCAGACTGATGAAATACACTGGTGAGGGGAGCAGCGGGCGAGACAGGAGAGGTCTGCCTCGCCATGTGGGATTCTCACCAGCCGGCCGGGATTGAACCTGCCCTGCAGAGGCTGTGGACAGCTTCACAGTGCATTGCTCAACCACCTGCGACACCAGGGAGGCCCTAAGCCGTTTTATTTTTGAGCTGAGTGGTCTGTTCCTTATTTGCATGTTGAGGACTGAGTGATATCTACCTGAAATCGACGTGATGGGGCAGTCCTGAAAAAGAATTCAAGGCTGATGATTTCAGTTTTAGTAAATCTAAGAAATCTTTGTGTAGACTGTACACAGTCCCTTAGGAAGTGTGTAGCTCAGAAAGACCACATGTTAAAAATGGCCAGCGACTCAGCTTGCGTCCATTCAGCAAGTCACAGCAGACCACTGCACCCCGTAGCAAGTGTCCCCAGGTAAAAGTGAATGTCCCCAACATGCCCACTTCATCAGTGATTTTTTTAGGATAAAACCTTTTCCTAATTTATCTCAATCCTGAAAAGCAAACTGAAAGGTAGATATTGTTTATTGTATTTCCAGATGACACTAAGGCTCAAGCAGTTTGATTTCGCTCACGTTCATAGAGTGTAGAATTCCTCGTGCTCTGAGAAGCAGCTGCTTCTCCAGCCTGTGTGCCTCATGCTTAGCTTGTCCCTGGGAGCAGTGAGGTGCTTCCCCTATCAGGGACACAGTCTCACTCAGTCCTCACAAACCTCCCAGCAACAGGAAAAGGGAGGTACAGAACCTTCCTGAGTACAATCTGCAGTCCGTTTGTAATTTGAGTCCAGGAACTACCACTCCAAAAGGCCATGCTTTTTAAGTGTTTAACTTTGGTGCATGTTTTGCTTTGCACAGTTAACTAGACAATATCCCATTTCATTCTAGATCGACACCGAAATGGGCAGCCAATGTCTAGAGGTTGTGCCAGCCGCCATATAGGGAACGGTGCCTTCAATTTCCCTCTTGTCTTTTCCAGGCTGCCCCTCTACCTGGCCTCACTCTTCATCAGTCTGGTTTTCCTGCTGGTGAATTTAACCTGTGCAGTATTGGTGAAGACAGGGACTTGGGAGAGGAAAGTTATTGTCTCCGTGCGAGTGGCCATTAATGACACGCTCTTCGTGCTGTGCGCCGTCTCTCTGTCCATCTGTCTGTACAAAATCTCTAAGATGTCCTTAGCCAACATCTACTTGGAGTCTAAGGTAAGGTGGAAATGTGCTCATACTCCATTATACTTTTCTAAAAACAGTTTCCTTGTTTGCCAACAGAACTCAACCAATACCTTTCACACCTGACCTCCTACAAATGATTAGCCAGGCTGTGGTGGCCAAAACAGGCATGGAGTCCACCCAACTTTGTATGTGGACGATTCCACCCCAGGTGGTGTGGCCTCACTGAGTGAGTGATGTCTCTGGCTTTATACATGGCTTTTAGAGACTGACATAGGACGAACGAGATATTAGTGCTGGTGATAGTAACAGAAACAGATCTCTAATGTTCACTCTACTCAGGCACTTTTGTAAGCGTCATGATCCTCACAGGTATTCTCCTCACTAAGGAAACTGAGGCACAAGGTGGCTGGGAGCATGCCTGAGATCACGGTTTAGGAGGTACAGGCCCAGGATGGAGCCTGGCAGTCTGCCTACTGCACCCTGTCATGCTGCCCTGGAGACAGATTCAGCTCACTCCCGGGTGGGCTGTGCCACAAAAGGGCTTCCTTCTGGGGTTCAGGACCACAGGCCTGAATGGGATGTGAGGCAAGCCCCTGAACCCTCTTTTTTTTTCATTGCTATGTTTCACATCCTAGAATCTTCTTTCTCCTTTCCTTTCCTAGGAGTGATGACAAGGGCAGATATGCCATCTGGAGCTAAGGTGCCACGTGCCCCTCATCAACTTGATCCCAAATTCTCCCTTCATTGGGAAGCCCAGTGCAGTATGGAGGCTGGGGGCAGATGCCCCAGGTTCTCCCTGGCTGTGGGTCCCCACCCCGCTGTCACATCTCTGAGCCTTGGCTTGCTTGCTTCTAAAGCAGTGGAGTAGATTCCTGTAGCAATTTTGCTTCAGAAACCCAGTGACCGTGTGTCTTCGGCACACCCTTTCTTTACCATGTGGCCCATCTGGCTCTATCATTGGCCTGTCTCCCACAATATTTTGTCTTCAGTAGTGAACAGATTAAAATTTGTGCCTCTAACTTCAAAAAAACAGAGCCTTCCTCGGGGTGTTCTGTGATTTTACTGCACTCCTGCACAATCTCTGAAGGTAGTGCTGCAGAGACCTTTTTTTCATTTATAAATTTTGATGAATTTTAGATTAGATTTTGCTTTAACTTTCTATTGTGTGCCTTGTAGGGCTACACAAGACTTTTAAAAACAGATTTTGTGGCATTAAAGGGAGGGGTTAAATTTTTATAGTCAGAATACCACTTGAGATACCCCCTTGCAAACAAGCTAACAAACCACTACTGGCAAAATAAAATCATATCTTGGATTTAGCTAGTGACTTCCAAAGGCAAAACTCAAAAATGTTTAACTTTTACATTGTGTGAACTGCCTGTCTAAGTAGGTCTCCTTTGACTGGAAATTAATGGCGTTATATATCAGGGCACAAATCACTATTTGCACATAATTACAAACCCTGAGTCACATTAGGACGCCATTACTCCCAGCCTACAAGGTTTTGGGTTTTGAGGAAGCAAGTGCTCACTGTCCAGACAGTCAGAGCACAGCCTTCCTAGGGGTCGCCCTGTGAGATGGATTGGTTGTCCCCAGGACAGAGGCCAGGTGCTCTGCTCATAGCTGAACATCCTCTTCGACCTAGGCAGTGGCACTTAATAAGCCACCTTTCTTGTTGTATCAAACCTATGCTGTAGGCAAATGGCCCACATTTTAATCCCATTAAAGTCATCTGCAAATCAAGTATCAGGATTTAAATCGTCTCTATGACAATCATTTGAATGTGGAATGAGCTGAGGTTGGCAGCGGGTGGGGGTTCCCACATGAGGCTTGATGAGATTGCACTGGCTCAAGCACTTGCAGAGTTCCCGGGATGAGTAAGTTGGTGCTCTGGGAGGAGGCTGGTGTCCTGGGCCCTGAATGGATGCACCCTGACGGCTCCTGCTTTTCCAGGGATCCTCCGTGTGTCAAGTGACTGCCATCGGTGTGACTGTCATCCTGCTTTACACCTCTCGAGCCTGCTACAACCTGTTCATCTTATCGTTTTCTCAGAGCAAGCTTGTCCATTCTTTCGATTACGACTGGTACAATGTGTCCGACCAGGTCAGTGGGCGCCAGGGAGGTGCTGTCTGGCCCACGGCGCTTTGCCTGGCAGCCTTCATGTGACAGAAAGGCATAAGCTCCTTCTGTCTGCTGGAACATGCTAGGTGACCTCTTCATCTATACAAGGGAGTCACAGCACCCACCTTGTCCTAGCGCACATTTTCTGAGAAAACTAGGAAATGCACATGTATGTGCTTGGAGGCATTCATCAGGCAGTGCTTATATCTTTGTTTTTTTAAGTGTTCCCACATTTTTTTAGTGTTCTCCCTTTAAATGTTATATTAAAGGGTGAAATTTGCAAAGGTAAAAACATTACATTCAGGTTTCAGAAAATTGGCACATATAATCTAATAGCATTTGAGGAAATTAGGACAAACGACTGACGATATGCAGGTGTTAGAAAGAGCTCATTTTACTAGTGGTCTCAATGTGATTAAATTGCAAAAGCTCCTTAGGTTTTCCTGGAAAAATATTGAAGACCCAACGGTTGGGTTGTCAGAAAAGTCATGACATATTCTTTCTGTTTTTCAAGCAAAAATGCGTCATGACTTTTCCAACAGTGCTCTATGTGCAAATCCACTTTGAGAATTCCACTAGTCCTCAAAACCTGGACTACATTAAGACTTGGGAAGATGGCCTCCCCAGTGGTGCAGCGGGTTGAGAACCATGCTGTGAAGCTGTCCGCAGCCTCGACAGTGCGGGTTCTATCCCGGCCGGCCAGTGAGAATCCCACAATGTGCCACAGACCTCTCCTGTCTCACCCGCTGCTCCCCTCAGCAGTGCATTTCAGTCAGTCTGCCTGTTCTGTTCCCCACTCTGTCTCTGGTGAATCCTTTCACCATCCCGCGCCTCTGGCCTGTACCCCAGTTCTTGTATAAAAATAAATAAATCTTAAAAAAAAAAGACTTGGTAAGAAAGAATAAAATGACCATGGGTAAGTCAGACCTGTGATCACGGAAAGATGAAATTCAGAAAAGGCACATGTGAGGCACTGCAGTTGGAAAGGATGAAAAATAACAGTAACGACCCCTTCCACTGCTAATCACATCGATGCCACAAATACAGCCGGGAGAAAGTTGAGCGAGGTGCTCAAGGTGTGCTCTGTTTTGAGAAAATCAAATAAATATGTAAACTTCTAAACTTCAAACAACGAAGAGACTTAGTCATAATACACAAAGCATTTGGGATGGTTTATAGTAAAATACAGCCATTCCAGGGTAGGTCAGCAGCAGGAAGCCCATTCACATCATTGTGACACCATCATCCTGTGGGAATTTTCCATCTCTCCAAACTTAACAAAATATTTTTATTTTTCTTTCAAATAAGTGCTTGTAATTGTAATGAATTTAAAATATCACAATTTTTAAAATTCTATTGTTTCAAAAATATTTATTTATGGCTATCCAGGCCTGTATGTTGTGACCAAAATAATCTTGGAGCAAGCAAAACAAATGCCCACGAGTTGCCCATTATTCATGTGGATTGGCAAAAAGAAATCTACTGTTGAGACATTATAGATGGAATATGAGATGTAAAATTTGAGATGAGCTGAGCATCCTCTTGGAGCTGGGCAGTGATTCTTCATAAAATAAGTTTGAAGAGTAACATCTTCCTAAAGAGTAGCATGATTCGTTTTGGTCACAGTATTTTAAGGAGGATGTAGTAGAGAAAGTAAAAGGATTAGATTAGGTGATTGGCTCTTTGTGGCTCGATTTTGGTGAGTTGTATTTCTTGGAAATGATGGTCCACCTCACTGGTAGACTTGGGCCAAACCTAACTTTGCACGTTAGTCACATAGAGGGAGGGGGGAACATGTCCAGTTGGTCCTCACACTGACCCACTGGGTGTAGACCAGAGGTGGGGGTGGGAGTGAATGAATTCACCAGAGACAGAGTGGGGAGCAGAACAGGCAGATCCACTGAAATACACTGCCAAGTGGGGGCAGTGGGTGAGAAAGAAGTCTTCTGCACCATGTGGGTTGCTCCCTGGCCAGGGGTCGAAATCAGGCCATAGGGTTGATAGTGCTGGGGCTTAACCCCTAGGCCACCAGGGAGGCCCAGAACAGTTTTTTCTTAGTGCTAGCCTGAAATAAACTCTAGTGGGTAAATCACAGGATATGGTCAACGTGAAGAGAAGTTTGAATACTGACACATTTATCCGAGGGACAAGGCTAATAAAGGGATCAGTTCTAGGCTGCTCTCAAGAATTTGGGAGGGGGGACCGTAACATTCTCACTGTTCAGTTGTTAAAAAGAAAATCTGCTTAAATTTGAGAGGTTTAATTTGGCCATAAGATTTTGGAGGGTGAAGATCAGACATAGGCAGTTTCTGTCTCTGAATATTTTGAAGAAGATAATCATCTCTCCTGTATGGTTTAAGTAATCCCCACCCGAGGTCTGGTATTTACTACCTGACGTCAACATGTACATTTTAGAGGCAGGGAATTATATTAGAATTAGCCTCTGTTCATGTTTAGAGTCCAATCAAATCTGTCTTCAGTCTAGTGACTTTCCCTTTCTTCTCCTCCGATTCAACAGGCAGATTTGAAGAACCAGTTGGGAGATGCTGGATATGTAGTGTTTGGAGTGGTCCTTTTTGTGTGGGAACTCTTGCCTACCACCTTAGTAGTTTACTTCTTCCGAGTAAGAAATCCTACAAAAGACCTGGTAAGTGATTTTATGTTTGCATCTGCTAATGCTAATCATAAACCATACTTACATTTTTCTCTTAGACTTCCAGCACAGTGTTTCTTCTCTCCTATTGCAATTTTTTTTTTTTTTTAAAGTTCCTTTGTTTATCTGAGGCCTTCTTTTCCCTTCTCTTTAAGGGGAAATTTTTTTTTTTTTAAAGATTTATTTATTTATACATACAAGAACCAGGGTACAGGCCAGAGCGCAGGAGGGTGAGAGAATTCACCAGAGACAGAGCGGGGAACAGAACAGGCAGACTGATGAAATACACTGCTGAGGGGAGCAGCGGGTAAGACAGGAGAGGTCTGCCGCGCCATGTGGGACCCTCACCGGCCAGCTGGGATTGAACTAGCGCTGCAGAGGCTGCAGACAGCTTCACAGTGCGGCGCTCAACTGCCTGCGCCACCAGGGTAAGCCCTCAGGGGAAATTTTTTTTTTAATTTTATAAAAGAAATGAAAAGTGAGTTTCATTTCAAGGCCTGGAGATAGTGACTCTTTTCCCTGATGCATCACAGCCTCACTATTCTGAGCCCTGACTTGCTGTGGACCAAATATATCAGCTTATGTATGTTTCAGCAAAAGAAACTAGAGAATAGTAATTCAGTTCTTCAGCCCTGTATTATGCTGGATGGTGATTAGGGAATGGGATCTTAGGGAAATAAAAACATTCTGAGGAATTCTAAAGCCACTCCAATTTGGAGCCATTCACGTATTTGCTCAGTAAGCTTTATGTAAATGCCTTTATAGGGGCAAGACAGAATAATGCAAAACCTGGTAGAATGGGGATACTCCTGGAAGCTTTACTTCATAAATTATTTCAACCACACTTACTAGTGGTAGAATTTTGAATCACTGATCCATGAAACCCATAGACAAGTACAGTGAACGGTTTTTAGCCAATGTGAGCAAAGTGTGGGTAGTAAAGAAGCACAGATGTTAAACAACTCAGTAAGGAAGCACAGATGTTAAACAACTCATGTTTCATCTGTTTTTTTTTTTTTTTTTTTTCTGATTCATCTCTAGTCATGGATGTGTGAGAAATAGGGGAAAAAGGTGAAATAGGAGTGGGGCAGGTGGCCACAGGCAACATATTCTATATGTTGTTTCTCCACCTTATTTTTAGCTGCAGAACTGTGGTTCTGCACTATATCTACTTGCATTGGGAACATTTACAGGCTTCTGAAAAGTCAGCTCCTAAACACTTCATTGGCAAAAAAATTCGTGAAAGGTTCTAGTCCATTGACTAGGCTGAATCCAGTGCCTGGTATTCCTGTCTTTTCAGAAGATAGCTGAAGTTTTCTGGGACCGTATTTTGCCTAAAGGATAAGACAGGAGTCTCTTAAACAAAAACCTGTGTTCATTAAGGCTTCACTTAGGTTCTGCCTGTTCTTCCCTTCCAGTTTTCATCTCTAGTATTTCAGAGTCTTAGGAACTCCATTCCCTAAACCCAAGGTAATATATATCTGAATCCTATGGCATGAAAAGCTAATGTGATATTATTGCTCAGTGTTATTTTGTTTAATGAATACAGAATAATAATATACTCCAATCTCTACATGTCATCCTTGATCTACGCTGTTCCAACATACTATGGTGTCTGAATGTATTTATTGTTTAGGGTATTATCTAGAACAATGGTTCTCAAACTTGTCTCAGGACACTTCACACTTTGAGGAACCCAGAAAGCTTTTGGAGGTATGCATGTGTGTAATTTTTAGAAAATATGTATGAATTCATTAAGCCCAGAATATGTTACCATGAAAATTATTTAAAAAGAACATTTTCCAAAACAAAATGAGACAAGAACTATTGTTTTAAAATTTTTTGAATCTTTTTAATGTCTGGCCTACTAAAAGACCGCTGGATTCCCGTATCTGCTTCTGAAATCTGTTGTGTTGTAATGTTTAGGTTGAAGTATATGAAGAGAAACCAGCCTCAAAGAGATATGTAGTTGCAAAAAAAGTGTTTTAATATCCTTTTACATAACTGTGAATATTATTCTCTGATGCTATACTCGAACTCAGGTTGTGGTTTCTGAAAAGTTGTGATATGGTATCTCAAGCCAATTCAATGAACATTTTGAATTGTGTTCTTGCTTAACATCTGTTGGTTTATCTTGCACTTTGAATGCAAGGTCTTTTATCTGTGCATGGTTTTATAATATCAAGCATGGGTCATTTGGAAATACTGACTTATTGAGTTACGTAGATCTTCCAACTGTTAACTTTTTCATTACACAATTTTGCACCACTACTGCCACCCCAAACCCACAGACTGATTCATTATTATCACTGATTTCATCAGAAAAATCTTTCATTTATTGGGGAGCTCATGATGGGGAACCCAAGTTTCCCAAAGCTTTAATTTTGCTTAAAAGCTCAAATCTGATCGGGGATAATACTTTTATTTGAAGTGACAGCTTACTTAATTCACTTTTGAGATAATTTCTGCCAAATACCCATGTCTGAAAAACCATTGTTTGAGTTTTGTCAAAAAAGTAGCTACAACTCAAAAACAGTTGTATAAGTTCTTTCCCTTAAAACCACCATTTTTACAGCAGAAGTGCTTTATGAATACGTTCTATTTTGTAACACAGACTATTAAAAAGACAGACTCAAGGGCTGAGATTTAATAGCATTAATTTTTATTGCTTCATCAAGGACATTCTCAAATGAGTTGGGTTTTTAAAATTTTTTTTTTTTTAATAGAGGCATGTTTTTGTTTGTTTGTTTTGTTTATACATGCACTGGGTACAGTCAGAAGCGCGGGAGGGTGAGAGAATTCACCAGAGCCAGAGCGGGGAGCAGAGCAGGCAGAAGGACCGAAGTACACTGCTGAGGGGAGCAGCGGGCGGCAGGAGAGGTCTGCGTGCCATGTGGGACCCTCCTCCGGTGGCTGGGGAGCAGCCGGGGATCGAACCGGCGCCCCAGAGGCCGCGGGCAGCTTCACAACCCAGCGCTCAACCGCTGCGCCACCAGGGAGGCCCGAGTTGGGATTTTTTTAACTGCATGTGAAGAATATTGTAACTAGTGCAGTGGTGCCATCTTTGAATATGTGCTACCACAGCGGGTGTACTCACGACTGCTTTTGTACCATTAGTGCAAATGTTCACACATGGAAAAGGCAAATAACGGCCTAATATATGATGAAAATAGTTACGAAAGGCTCTCAGGGACCTCTGGCTTCAAGGACACTGAAAACTGCTCATCTGCTCTAAACATTATCTTCACATTCACTACGAAGGAGTGAACTCATTATGAATAACGCAATACCATAAACAGAAAATGTACTGATGAGGTCACTCTAATTAGCAGGTAATGTGAGTGTCGTATTTGGCTGGATGAAGCATTAGTGTTCCTGAAATATCCATAGGCAAGACTACCAGAGTTAAATGCCATTATTACATTCACAATTTGGTAAAAATAGCTAATAATTATACATTACTTTTATATATACTAGGTGCTGTCCTAAGCACTTTAAAAAAATATTAAATTCTTTTTCACAATAATGCTTGAGGTAGAAACTTCTTATACTCAGATGAGGAAACTGAGGCTCAGGGTCACATGGCTGGTAGGACAAGAGGCAGGATTAATACACAGCAGTCTAGCTCCTCAGTCCATGATTCCAGTTACTATGTTACACTGTGGCCTTCTTTGTCATAATACGATTTGGAGAAGAAAATGAATTCCTAATACATATGACAGTAATCCTATCACTATCTGCAATCATTTGGAGAACAAAGCCTAATATTCTTTTGGGGAGATTTATAGTTTAACTCATAGTCACTGGCTTATTTAAAAGACGACTCTACAGGTGGGGCTTTTAAAATGTTATCATTTGTTATCCGTAATTTAGTAGGTATAAACAAGCCAGTGTAATAGTATAGGGTGTAGCGTTTTGCAGTCCCTCTCAGAATCCCAAGGTGCTTGCTGTGAGTATTCTTGCACAATATTCTAGACCCAGATCAGAATCTCTGGGGTAGGTTCTGGGAACCCACATCTGAAATAACTTAGCAAGTACCCCAAGTTATTTAAGTGCATTGTGAAGTTTGAGAACCTCTATCATATTTAATGAAATGAGCAGTTTTATTAAGATATAATTCCCTTACTATATAGTTCACTCATTCCACACGTGCAAGTTGGTGGTTTTTGGTATATTCAGGTATGTGCAGCTGTCACCAGAGATCTCAGAGCATTTTTATAAGCTCAAAAAGAAAACCCATACCCTTTATCTTTCTCATCCCCTGCCCTAAGCAACTACTTTACTTTGGTCTGTCTCCCTGTTCTCGATATGAATAATGTCAAATTTGTGGTTCTGTGACTGGTTTCTTACACTTAGTATGTTTTCGAAGTTCATTCATATATTTCATTCCTTTTTATGGCTGAACAATATTTCATTGTATCACTGTATCCTATCTTATTTACTCATTTGTTGGACATTCAAAGGGTTTTTTCCATCTTTTGATTTTTATGAATAGTGCTACTGTAAACGATGTACAAGTTTCTATGTATATGTTTTTTCTCATGGGTACATATCTGGAAGTGCAGTTGCTGATCCTATTGTAATTTTGTGTTTAACTGTGAAAAATCTTTGAACTGTTTTTCAGAGGACATAACATTTTACATTCCCACCAGTGGTGAAGATTCTGGTTCTTCCATATCCTCAACATTTGTTATCTGAATTTTTTGATTCTGTACATCTTGAGGGGTGTGAAATGGTATCATAACTTTTGATTGATGATTAATGATATAGAACATCCTTTCTTATGCTTGCTGGACATTTCATATCTTCTTTGGCGAAATGTCTGTTCAGTTCTTTTGTCCTTCAGTTGACTTGAATTATTGAGTTAGAAATTGATTATATATTTTAGATACAAATCCTTTATCAGATATGAATTTCAAATACCTTTTCCCATTCTGTGGATGTCTTTCCACTTTCTCAATGGTAGCCTTTGAAGCACAAGTGTTTTTAATTTGGATGAACTTAATTTATCTGGTTGTTTCTTTTGTGGCTAATGGTTTTGGTACAATCCTTTGTCAAATCCTGGGTCATGAAGATTTGCTTCTACATTTTCCTTCAAGAGTTTTATGGTTTTTACTCCAACATTTAGATCTTGAGTTACTATTTATGATGTGAGGTAAGGTTCAACTTCATTCTTTTGCATAGACATTCTCGAACTGCAAAGAGTAAATTTTAAGGTATCCCAACTTGTATAAAGTTACACTTTGCTTCCTGTATTTGGGCAGATTAATTTTGGAAAAGCAGGAATCCACATGTAGATGACCATTGTATAATGACTTTGTTTTATACTCTATTGGTTAAGTTTTAAATGGACCACTCTTGATATCAACAAGAACAGCACATAAATGCTGGATTTTATCACAGGACTAGTTTTTCCACAATATAATTGATTTTATGTTTACTTCAAACTAGTCATTTGAAATTTGAAGAGTGAACTTGGTAGGCTTGGGGGAGAGAAACAGGATGAAATGATTCATAAAGGCAGGATATAAAAAATCCTCTCAAACTATTTATTTTGGGGCCTCCCCAGTGGCTCAGTGGGTTGAGCACAGCACTGTGAAGCTGTCCACAGCCTCTGCAGCACCGGTTCAATTCCCAGCTGGCTAGGGAGAGTCCCACATGGCGCGGCAGACCTCTTCTGTCCTGCCCGCTGCTCCCCTCAGCAGTGTATTTCGGTCCTTCTGCCTGTTCTGCTCCCCGCTGTCTCTGGTGAATCCTCTCACCCTCCTGTGCCTCTGACCTGTACCCCAATTCTTGTATAAAAATCTGTTAAAAAAAACCCAACTATTTCATTATTTTAATTTACTGTGAATGCCCCCTTATACAGGTTTATATCCAATTTGGGACTCTTCAGTTTGACTAAATTGGGCATTGTCTGGTTTTTCAATAAGGGATTTAAACAATTATAATTAACTGTTGGGAGAATTCTGAAATAAGATGTTGCCTATACTGAATTTAATTCCTCTTAAATGTAAAAGGAACTAAAATGAGCACTCCAGCTGAACGAGGGCAGCCCCCACCAGGTGACTAGAATATATTCACTCTCTGCAAGAGAGGTCCTGTTTATTTTTGGCTAGTGCAAGGCACAATATCTGAAATACATGCTGAAAAATTCTTTCCAGACCAACCCTGCAATGGTCCCCAGCCATGGATTCAGTCCTAGATCTTACTTCTTTGACAACCCTCGAAGATATGACAGTGATGATGACCTTGCATGGAACATTGCTCCTCAGGGACTTCAAGGAAGGTAAGACCCTCTTTCAGGCTAGCCTAAGGTATGAGGGTGAGAGCTGCACCAATGAAATAGATTCGGACTAAACAGATTCTTACATAAGAGCCCCAGAGCGAGAGGGAGGGTATAGCAAATAGAAAAAGGAGAAGCACCCAAGTATGTGAAACTAACTACAATCATAGTAGAGACCTACTTACCCACCTGCAGTATGTGCACTTCAAGAATGTCTGCCTCTGGCCTGGTCAGTTCTGCAGAGTGGTAGTTACTGGGATTCCTTCCCCTTTCCTCAGCCTGCTGATGCTTCAGCCACACTCCTCTGCCTAGGGCTCACTTTCCTCTTTCCACCTGTGGGCCTGGGACTTTAAGACCAGCAAGAACTAGAAAAGCAAAAAGGGCTGACTTGTGCATGCCAAACTCATCTCTGCTTTATGCTTGTCCTCCCAGGACATCTGCACTGTTCCTGTGAAAGGGGAGCTTTAGGTAGAGTTTATTTTAAAAGTGAAAATGTTGCAGTGGCTTGCGATAGCTTGGTAGCACTGTGTCTTTAACCCCTATACCATGAGTTCCATGCTGGCCAGGGAGATAACCCACATGGTGCAGCAGACCTCTCCTGTATTGCCTGCTGCTCCCCTTAGCAGTGTATTTCAGTAGATCCACCTGTTCTGCTCCCCACTCTGTCCCCACACCTCTGGCCTACACCTCAGTTCTTGTATACATAATTAAATCTTTAAAAAAATAAAAGTGAAAATGTACCTTTATGCAATCCCTTGTGAATTTAAAGACCTGCCATTAACATTTTAATGTAAATCTTTCTTCTCTGGGACAAGATGGTAAAGAAGCTATGCTTTATTACTATCAATAAAAGTCCTTAGGAAACCTTAAAAGAGCTCTAAAATGAACCCTTGTTTTAGGGACTGGAGGAATGAAGATAAGCTGGGAGGGTACATTGCTTTCTCAGTGAATCAAGGAGCAGAGAAATCCTGGCCAGTTTGAATAAAAGATGATACTTGGGAAGAAAGTAGATTAGCTTACATTGTCAGCAGATGAAAAAGCATAGATAACTCTGGAGCCAATACATATGAGGTCAAAATTGTCCTAAAATTGTTCTCTTATCGTTACCACACTACATTTCCTGCTAACTATGTCCCTGGAAACCTGCTAGAACCCTTAACCCCTACCTGACAGAAGCAACAGAGAACTGAAGGATTCCTCACAACCTATGTAGGAGAAGAAAAAACTTTTCTATTACATAGAAAATCAATTATAAGACAATTTACATATATGTGTATAAATATACACAAAGATATTGTTCCAAGCACTTTATGGGTATGAACTCACAGAAGCCCAATGAGGATAATTATTGATATTGCTTCTAGTCTACAGATGAAGAAATCAAAGCACAGAAGTTATTTGCCCAACGAAGCAAGTATTGAGCTACATACACTTTGTTAGGATTCAGACACAATTTGTTGTTAAAACATTTTGTTACATACATGATTGGTTAATGGTTCTAGTAAAACCATACTGAATTTTATAGAATTTAGTAGACTTGTGGGTAGTTACTGCATAGCAGTGGTGAAATGAGCTTCAAGAAGCTACTTTTTAAAAAACTGGGATTGTCTATAGTTTATATAAATCCTAGTTCTATCTAAAATAAACATGTCATCAGTTTAAGTATAACGTTACAAGTCACTGAAATATCTTTTTTCTTTTTTAAGTTTTGCTCCAGACTACTATGATTGGGGACAACAAACTAACAGCTTCCTGGCACAAGTAGGAACTTTACAACCAGACTCAATTTTGGATCCTGACAAGCCAAGCCATGAATAGGATCAGTTAACAGTTTTATGGAAGACTTCTCAGCTATAAAGCTTCAGAAAGATGAACTTAAGGACAGCTGAATTCTTAGGACACTTTTCCTTAAGATATAGGACTCTATTTTTACTTGTTACAGGTTTCTAATGACTCCATAGGACTAAGCAATAATATAGATTGATAAAACCTTATTTTAGTATACTAAAAGTGAGCCTGGCTGCCTACATCAGCAGGTGTAATTTAAACTTAAATCTGTACTTTTATAAAAATGTCTTTTATATAACTTAAATAATAATGCTAAACTAGGGGTTTTTGAGAATGTTATTGCAATGTATGTTGTAGTTTGCACACTTTTATGCATAATTCACTTTAAAGGTATATAGTATATGGTCTGAGAGTTTTTAAAGACTTTCGGACTGAAGTACTCCTCAATGCTTACCTCTTCAGGTCACTCAGATTCTGAGCTGCACACTGACAGATTCTCAATACAGTTGAGATCTAGAAAGCCAACTGCAATGCCAGTGTTGAACGTTGTAAGGTAGCAGAATATTAATGACAGACTACAAGGTAAATGGCTCAAGAGTTTTTGGGTTTTTTTATGGCTCAGTTAGTCCCTCAAAGAATTTCCTAAATTTTGCCAGAAGTTAGGTACTCTTTCAACAGGGCACTAATGTACATACTCCAGTGATAATTTGATGTTAAAACTGTTCATAGAGTTGACTTATACTATTAAATCTCCTCTTCTATATTCGTAAGAGATTTTGCATAGTTTTCCAACCCTATGAAATCTAATATCCCTTACCTCAGTACTTCAGCAAGACTACACCGTTCCCAAGTGACTGAACATTCATCACACTAGGGGAAAAAAGATGACGTTCCCAAAAGGGAATTAATAATTCCAGTCACCCTTGAATTATAAAAACTATGTAGAGTCATAATTATTTGCTTTGTAATCTCCAATATTCAAAATAACCCCCTATGTTTTAAAATGGCCCTGAAAGCAGCCTCCTGGAAGCTGCATGTTTAAAATGGCAGCAGCATTGCAATATTCTCTAGCATGATTCCTATAGTCTCATGAAAGGGCATGTTCCAGACAATTGTTTACAAGTTGTCATTCATTTATGTGAAAAATATGTTATGCAACACCAGTTCCCTAACCGTAAGTGCCATTCTAGAATTTCTACCATGGGTATATTCTGCATTTGTAAAATGGTCTATGATAGGACACTGTGTACATGGCTCTCTTTTTCTACAAAACAGAAATAAGGTACTAGAGGCAATATTGTTTCCAGAGAGAAAGTATCATTCTGCCCTACCTAGGAAATCTCATCTGGGGACAGAGTGAGGGGCAGAAAAAAAGGGACTGACACTAGTTAATAAGTCCTACTTACATGATGAAACCCATTTCAGATGTCTCTTCCCATTTTGGTCTTCAGGAATAATTTATCTCTGGACATTGATTTCACAGAAATCAAGTCTACTACTTATTTTGATGGTATTTAAGATTGTAATCTCAAGTTTTAAATCTGTCATGATTGGGTTCCTCATTTGCTTAGAATATTTTGATCCTGCATAATCTCACATGATATTGCCCTTTACTATATGGAAGACTTTGGGTCATATTTCATTTAAGAGTCACTGTCAGGGAAAATTCTACACTGAAGCAAAATTTGCACTGACAATTCAGTTTGCCTTAAAATATAAGCTGTTATTCTAAATAGCTTTAGGAATATCCTACTCGTCATGCTGTCTTTGTTACTAATAAGAATTTAAAGGCAGATTTAGCATATGCTTAAAACTCCTTTAAATCATGCTTTTGGAGAAAGTTCTACAATTCTTCAACATCAAGTCAGCTGAGGGTAGATATTTTTAAATTCAGTGGAAAAAAGTCACAAAATCATGTAATTACTACTCACCCTATGATAATGTAAACACTTTTATACTGTTATTACCAGAAAGAAAATATCCAGCATTAACTGATACAGGCTATAGTCTATTATTTTTATAATAAAGCTGCTAGTATTTTAACTATTACTTTTCATTAGAAAGGATAAAAATGTTCCAAGTGCCTATTTTTCTTTGCTCTTTTAAAAATAAGGCTAAAAATGTTCAAGTGTCACAAACACACCTGGAATACAAAAAAACTGATTCTGTCACATGATCTTTCTCTTATAGTAAACAATCACATATTCCATAAACTGCTGCAAGACTGGAAAGGAAAATTAACATCTCCTTTAATTTCCTAGATTTATTTGTGCTACTAAGTACACTAACAAATTACTTTATGTGAAATATTAAGGCTAAAAGGGGGCAAAGAATGGTGATTAGAAGTTCTGAAATACCCAAATGTCCTATTTTTAAAGGCAACACAAGGAAATTAAAGCTCTGATAATTTAAAAATGAAAAGTGGGGAAAGAGGCAATATCCCTGAAATTTTTTGAACCATTATTATTATCCAATTCTGATTCAGCACGAAAAGGCTATATGTGAATGTTTCTATTCATCTGTTGGAAATATGCATAATAGGTGTCCACTTCTGCAGTTAATTGTCTAAGGATTTCAACTGATTTGTGTAGAGATCAGTCATTATCTTTTTTCCCTTTTTACAATTTAACCTATTTAATTTAGCTGGTTAAAACATCTGTGTGTGTTATATACACAGCTGTGGACTATAAGAAGTTTTGATTCCCATAATACCTATGATTAACAGACAGATTAATAAGACAGAACTATATACTGTAATAAGTTATGTGAATGTGGTCTCTCAGAATAATATACTTACACTTACTGTGATGTGGGATGATCCAGTGCCTACACGATGAGATGGAGATGAAATGATGGCGGCATTGTGATGAGCTTTAGGCTACTATATGCCCTTCTGGTAATATGTCAGAGGAGGATTGTGTGCTTCAGATGATCCTGGATTATCGATGATCTGGTTATTAGGTACAGACTATGTTGATGATTGGGGACCCTCAGTAGTTGGTTATTTTGCTAAAACCTTTTAGAAGAACATTATAATCAAATTTTCTCTTCAACTCAGCTAAGTGTTGGTTGCAAAGGTCATAATCCTTTGATGATCACTAGGTGACTTTAATGTTTATTCCATCGGAGGAATCCAGTCCACATTTTGTCCCTTAGTATCTGCAGTTTTAAACATTTTGGCACTGTCCACCACATTGCTGGTTCTGCTTTAATCTTCCCCTATAGATGACTTAAGTTCTTCCAATTTCTCATTTGTTAACACTTCTACGTGGTCTTCAATGTGTTCTTCCACTTCAAGAGTGTATGCAAATCCTTCTTCACTAATTTTTTTAGTGAAGTGCAAATGCTTTTCCTAACTTCTCCATCAATCATACATGACTTTTCTAGCAGGCATTTATAATTTCTGGTTTTATTCATGCATTGCAGCCGTGATAAATGTTGTGTCAGCAATAGTGATTTCCAGCACTGCATTAAATCAGATTAGGGACTGCATCAATTGCTGATAGAATGAGATTTATACCAAGGAGTATGTATAGGCTTGGCAAACCAAATGAAATCCTGGTCTAGGGACTGAAGCAATGAGGTTGTATTTGGAGGTAGAAATGTAACCTCAACATTTTTCTAGCAAATAGATTCAGGATGGCCAGGTGCATTGTATTATTAATAGGGCTTTAAATGCCAATGATTCCTCTTCCATGTATTCTTCATTTCTGGGATGAAGTGGAACCATCCATAAACAAGATGGCTGTCACCTACTCCATGTTATCTGAACACAGGGAGATAATTTTTGAGTGTGGATTCTTCCCTCTGTATGCTAAGCCTGGCTTTATCTGCTATGCCTGTAGCATTGTGCCATGGTACCAAAGTTAATCTGTCTTTCCATGTTTTATGTCCTGGTACTTCCTGTAAAGAACTTTCATGAAAAGAGGTTCTACTGAGCATCTTCCAGAAGAGCCTTGTTTCATTTCAGTTGAGTGCTTGCTTTGGATAGATCCTTTCTCCCAATCAATTTCCTCAATTCTTCCAGTAACAAGGCAGCAGCTTCTTCATCAGTATACATAGACTCTCCAGTAATTTTTATATTTTTCAGTTGAAACCTATTTTAAAGTCCATGTAACTATCCTTTACTTGTAGTAAGTGACTTGGGATCACTCACTTCAGAGGATCCCTTGAAGTCTTCCTATAGGCTAAATGCTTTCTGGTGTCAATTGAACATTTTCTGTTCCGATCTTCCACACACAAATTTATACCTGCCTTTTTCACTTAAAATATTTACCACATACTGTGAACATTTTCTGTCTGAAGTGCAACAGCAATTTTTTTTCCTCATTAAGTCCTGAACCTTCACCATTTCACTTAAAGGAGGCACTTTAAGGCTGCTTTTGGCATATCATAGTTGCCAGCATCACTACCTTCACATCATTACTAAGTGAAACAAGACTAGCTTGAACACAGGCACAGTGATACTGTGACAGTGAATGTAATAGCCAAGATGGCTACTGAGTAATGGGGCAGAGAGCTTCCACAGTGTGGATACATTGGATAAAGGGATGATGGAGCAGGACAGTATCAGATTTTATCATGCTACTCAGACTGGTGCACAATTAAAAACCTACTTCTGCAGTTTTGCACATCATAATTTTGGATTGTGGTTGGCCATAGGTAACTGAAATCATGATAAGCAAAACTATGGATAATAGGGGAACTACTGTATACATATAAATCATAGTTATGCCAAATCTTTCTTAACTGTATCAGGCATACTCAACTGTACTGGTTATCATGTTTAGCTGCTTAGATCAAGTGCACTTGCTAATACATCCCCCAAATTTTCTTTCACCAATATCCAAGAGAACTGTTTGTTGACCTTGAATTGTTGACCCCACTAAGAAGACTAAGTACTAGTAAACCCTCAGTCACCTGAAATGCTTTGAGAAAAAGGTTTTTTATATTTACATAGTGGGTATAACTATAGTTTTTTAACAATAAAAAACTAGAACTAAATGGTCTCAATTTCCCCTGAACCTTGGTGACTTCCAGTCCTTGCAGTCTTTTTGCAGTCTCAAGTTATGGTGCTCCTTGAAGGCATTAATTGAAATATAAAAAGAGTATATACTTCAGATAAATAATGCCTTACCAGGATTACTGAATTTGTGTTACTGAGCATCCTTGATGAATTCACTAGGTGAGCGCTTAGGCTTCAAGTTTACCAACTTAAAATCAGAATACTCATCCATTTAGAGAAATAGTCTGTGAAGGAAATGTACATGGAAAGTTAAATTACATTAGAATGCTGCTTGGTGAATGCTACCTCTGTTCTGATCAAAGGGCATTGCATGGATAGTTATAATCATCAATCTATGAAAACTTAATGGCATAGTCAAGCAGGCACTAAGATTCATTCAGATTGAGGGC